GGCTGGTACCAGCCTGTCTGTCTGGATCTGGAAGTCCCACAGGATCTTAGTCTGTTATTCTCTATGACCTTCTGTGGAATCTGGACTTGGAACGGTCTAGCCATACACTGTGCAGACGTTCCTGTACACAATGTCAGCTACTTGATTGTGCCATTCAGTGTATGCTGTTCCTGCCTGCATCTTACACCCTGCCATTATGTGTTGGACTGTCTCTGAGGGCTCTCTGCACAGTCTGCACCTTGGTCCTCTCTAGTGTGGTAGACCCCTGCTTCTATGGATCTGGTGAGTAGTGCCTATTCTTGTGCTGCTATGATCAGTGCCTAGTGCTGTCCTTTAGTCCAGCCCTTTCCAGCCACCGGTAGGATTTCCCAATGTTGGCCGCCTCACCTATCTGTTGATGGTACATCCCATGCAGGGCTTGTCTTGTCGTGGCACTTCCTCTGCTTGAACTTCATGCCATGTCTGCTACTGCCACAGGCATTCTCTCAGCAGCTTATCTTTGGGTGCCATCTCACTGATGTACTCCTGGATGTTTTGGGTTTCATCCAGGACAGTGGCTTTGACACTTACTAAACCCTGCCCACCCTCTTACTGGCTGGTGTACAGTCTCTGGGTGTTGGACTTGAGGTGGAAACCTCTACATTGTGAGGAGCTTCTGGGTCTTCGCATCAGCAGTCTCCATGTCCTCCTTAACTACCTTCCCTCTCTTTACTATCCTCCAGCCACACTTCTCCAGTCTGAATGACATTCCAGCGTCCTCACTGTAGATCTGTGTCAGGTAGATCAGTGAGTCAATGTCTCATTCACTCTTAGCATACAGCTTGATGTTACCCATGTAGAGGAGGTGGGTGATGGTAGTTCCACTCTTGAACTTGTATCCATATCCAGTCCTTGTGGTTATCTGGCTAAGAGGCTCAAGCCTATGCAGAAAAGCAGTGGGGACAGTGCATAACCTTGGTATATGCCATATGTGATGGCCACTTGTGCAAGCTGTCTTGAGTTGACTTCCAGTATTGTCTTCCACAGTCCCACTGAGTTCTTGAGGAAGGTCCTTATTGTCCTGTTGACTCTGTATAGTGCCAGGCATTCACAGATCCATGTCTGTGGTACTGAGTTGTAGGCTTTCCTGCAGTCAATCCAGGCTGTGCTCAGATTGATCTGTCTAAACCTTGAGTCTTGGGCGACTGCTCTATCTATGAGCGACTGGTGTTTTGAGCTTCTGTGTTGTTTCCAATGCCCTTCTGAGCTGTGTCATTGTACTGGCCCATATGGTCCTATAGCTTGGTGGCTATGATGCCTGATAGGACTTTCCATGTTGTAGGAAGGGCTGATTATTGGCTGGTAGTTGGATGGTGCTGATCCCTCGTGGGGGTCTTTCATGATCAGCACTGTCCTTCCTTGTGTTAGCCAGTCTGAGTGGGAGCCTGCTGCTAGCAGCTGGTGATGCTAGGCATTCATGCACTGCTGTTAGTTTCTTTAGCCAGTAAGCATGGATCAAGTCCAGGTCAGTTGCTGTCCAGCTCTTCATGTTCTTGAACCGCTGTTGGATGTCTGCTACTGTAATGGTGACTGGTTCCTGTTCTGGGAGATTGCTGTGGTCTGCTCTCAGGTCCTGCAGCCACTTTGCACTGGTGTCATGTGTTTTCTTTTTCTCATGTTCTTCCAGTACTGTTCAGTTTCTGCTGTTGGTGGCTCTGCTGTTACTGTGTTGTTACACTGCAGTTGGGAGTACACCTTGGATGGTTCTTTGGAGAACAGGGCATTTACCTCTGCTTCTCTAATGTATCTCCTTAGCCTTGCAGCCAGTGCTGTGAGCCTTTGCTTAGCAGTCTTTGGGGCTTCAGATGGAGTCAGGCCCTTGTATTTTTTCAATAGCCGAGTCTTATCCTTAATCTCCACACCCTTCTGTAGTTCCACCAGCTGACAAATTTCTGTCCGAGTTGCCTTGATCTTAGCCTCCAACCTCATTTTCCAGCGTGGTTATGTACTACTATTCCCTTTGATCATGTAGCCAAGCATCTCCAGGATTACAGTGGCTGTACTATGAGGCATATATCAGTTCATTAGTTTGAGTTATAGTGGTAATAGACATTGTCATGAGGGCTCTATTGGCATCTACTAACATACTATCTGATGATATTTCTCCCCTGAGCCTTGGTAATTGTCTCAAGGGTTGACTGTAGCTAGTTTGTCCATGATCTTATGCCTCATATCAGCAGCAGAGCTTTTTCATTTGAAATAGATAATAATTTTAAACTAAAGTGTGCAAGCTATAAATTTGTAACCATTTGTACTATTAACAGCTTACATTTTTAAAAAGCACTAGACTGAAATGCTACTATATACATTGAAAGGAAAACCTATCAAAAATTTAATTTCAATCCCAGTCAATCTGCTAATAACAATCTGCTAATATCATTATGTCAGGCAACATAATCCTTTCTGAAAACTCCAAACTCTAATATAAAATAAACCAGCTGAAAACCAGAAAATAAACAAAATGTCAGGCAGCAAATAAAAAGAACAGTAAAACCCAATAATTACAAAACTGGTGAAGTCATGATGTGACATATTTTTCAAATAGTAAAACAAAATTTAGGCACATGAAGAGAAATAAAATCACATTGATTGGATAATAACAACTGTAAATAAAATAGATTCAGTGCTTATTCAGTTGCCAGACATAAATTGTGGGGCACTTAGCAAAAACTAATACCTGAGTTGATGCATAGTTAATTTTAAGGGCTTCTGCACTAGAATATGTGGCTGAAGCACGTAAAGCCCACTTTAGACCAATTGGTGTCTCACATAACAGCACAGCACAATCTGTGGAGGATTCTCAGAAGTGGCTTTTCAATTTTTAGGATGAATTTTGATTTGAAACAAGAATATATGCACCACACCACAGCAGACCTGGAGAAAGCCCAATTTTGTTGCCCACATCAATAGATTTCAGAGTAACATAGAAATCACAGGACTATTCTCAAAGACTATCATATTTCCAGCTTAAGGTCTTTAACTGGAATGTCTAGACCATCAGTGTTCCTTTCCTGACTAGAGCTGCAAACTTTGGATTTTCTAGAATTTGGCTTTACAAAGCACCCTTGGTTTCATTTTTTCTCCTTGTTATTTTTACCTAATACTACTATGCTTTACTCTGGTCTTTTTCTATATTACTATAAAAACTCATGCTTCTTTCCTTTAATAACTTAGTTACCTCACAATAAAACATTCTCTGAATTAGTAAACAACCACACTTGTTACTTAAATGAACATCCACTTGTTCCCTATCTCATTGAAACAGATTTGCAAATAGTTACAAATTAGATACTATGAAGATACATCACAAGCTAGTTAAAAATCCTTTACTGGAGTGCACATATATGGCTTTACTGAGTATTTTACTGAATATTCTGTGGTTGCTTTTGCTTGTATTTTGTATCTTTTAATAAGAAGCCATTGTGGCTTATGCAGAAAATGTACATATACATTGTAATACAAATTGAATATATATTGAATGATTAAATAGTAACAGAACATAATGTTGCATTATTGGGAAGTATGGTGTTATAAGCAGAGGAAATATGAAGGATACTCTTTATTTTATTCTAAATTAATTTTCAATAATGTTTAAATACTTGTTTGAGTTTTGTGCTATTTTTGTTTTCTGATTTTCCACTAGTACCTTGAGTTCAGCATTTTGTATCTTTAGTCCTTCCACTGTATAAGAAATCTCCTTCCACTTTCCAAGCTTGGTTTTGGCACATTCTAGCATCTGCTCAGCTTCTTGCTTTGCTTCCAACCATTGTGTGGAATCTTTCAACATTTCATGCAACTGTTGTCTTCGGTTCTGAATATGACCCTGCACTTCATCCCACTGGTTTTGTATTTTTTCAACTGTGAGAAATGAAGGCAAAAATAGAATATGTCTCTTTATTTGCAAATTCCTATTTCAGTGGAATGAGAAGAAATTAAAAAGCCTATTCTTGATTATGTTCAAAATTAAATTATTTCAAACGAACAAAATCTCATCCTAGAGCCTTTTAACTGTATATGTTGAATTTATTTTTTTTTTCATAATGACATAAGATATATTACCCAGTCAACAATTACCTCAATGTTTTAAATTAAAATAATCTGTGCCTTTGGTATGAATGCATATCT